GAAAAATCTGATTATAATATACAATGGACTCAAAAGTACCGTCGGCGGCGTCGGGTCTAAATCATAATGCTATTTCATAATTATTATTAATTTCACTTTAGTCGTTGGCTGTCGTGTATGTACCTATATATGTACCATCGCCTTAATAATGTATATCTGTTGTTTAAATATTGTTATTTGTTAATCCGTTTTCGCATTTTCCTATATTGAGATTAATATTTTATATTTATACTTATATTTGCTATAATATATAACATTTTACAATATATTAAAATGGATAAAACATCCGAATTGGAACAATGGTTACTTGAAGAATTTCCATCTAATATTGACTCATGACATAGAAATGTCTTAAATTGATCATAAGATGATGAAAGTCAATGCATCGATATGGGTAAGTTCAGGGCCGGCCCTATATAGGGTAGGTCAATTGGGATATTTGTCCTAGCCCCCGCGCGAATTTTAGGGCCCCGCGATTACGTCATGAAAACTAGGTATGTTGCTAGTATGTAGTTAAATTGAAAAAAAATAATTCATAAATATTAAATTCATAAAGTTATAATATGTTTTTGAGATATTGCATAATAATATATTTTATAAATAGCGTTATAGACTTATGGTTAATAATAGTTCTAATAATTCCTATTCTCGGTCGATGCTTAGTGTTATCGCATGAACGCTGACGCTAGCAATCAATTATTTCGTTTTATTTTTATATGTTGTACATGCAATTTGAAAACAATACGATCCGACGATACTGATAATTTTACATTTTCACTTTTAAATTGTACACATGACAAATTATAATTTTTCATGATTGTATATGCAATAGGCATCGTCGCATACTCGCGTCGCTACCATTTGGATAATAATATACGACTTTTACTAATCGTATTCGTTATTAATTATTCAATTATATTTAATAAAATAATTATTGAACATTTAGGTAACTTGAGATAATATCAACGCAATATTTGTTTCTCTCTCAGACCCATGCGCAACATAGATAAACCGTATTCACCTAACATTGTTTTTATGATTTTTGATTAATCTTGAGTACAAAATTTAAAACTAGGGCCAGCCCTAATTATACCGATATTTTTTATTAGTTGAACAAGTCTTCCGAAGAACAAAGGGAACCAATTATTGTTGTTATTCATCATCAGGGCTCGTAACTTCATGCACTAAAAAATGCATAAATAAGCATGCATTCATGCACTAAAAATTGTCAAAATATGCATTAAAATATGCACTTAAAAGTTCAAAAATATGCATTTATATGCATTAACATTTTTAAATTATGCACTCAAAATATGCATTATGTAAAAAAAACATGACCAAATTTTAAAATAATAAGAATAAATCCATACATTTTAAAAGTATTTTATTCCTCCTAATTTTTATATATTTAACAGTCAAAATTAATAAAATAAAAAATAAAATTAATACTTGTGAAGTTCAAATAGCTTTGTCATCTTTATAAATTTTAATTAGGTAGTCAATTTTGTCTAATTTGTGTACACCCTTATTCAGCACCAGCAATGAAAACATTTGGAATGAAATATTAGGTTTTTCATTTTGAGATAATTTAGTAATATATATTTTATAAGTGTTTTTTTTATGTTTTCCAACAAGAGGGCGCATAAGTAGACAAAATATGGCATAAAACCATGGTTTCGTAATTCAAGTAATACGGCTTATTGAAGTGGTTTACAGTAAAAATACCTATTATAAAAATTGTAAAGTAGAACTTTTTTTACAATCGTAAGAAGCCTGATTTTCGATATTTTTATTAATTAGCTAAATAATTATTCAATAAAAAATTTAAAAAACCGTTATAATTTACCATGCGATATTGGACGATTGGAACAAGATATCAAAAACCGGAAGAAACTTTTCAAATATTTGTCTAAAAAATATTTTTATGAAATAATATGCACTAACGACTGTAAAAAATCAACTATATGCCAAATATGACTTTACACCCAAAACATGCAAAAACATGCACTATCAAACTTCATATTATTATTACTATTGTTATGAAACGGATTTGTATCTCAGTTAGCATGTTTTCCTGTGTGGCAAAAAAAACATGCAGATGCATGAACTTACGAGCCCTGTTCATCATGATGATAATAATAGTAAGAAAATTAACATTTGTGTAAAATTTATTTCATTTGAAAATTAAAACTGCATTTACTCTATAGAAATCACACCCATCAAACTTGGAGTTTCAAAATGTTTGGATTATCCTGCACTCAGTTTCTCAAAAATCATAGATCGACTCACTTGGCAGTAGTGAAACCAACACCCCTGAAGCTTTGTATGAGGCAAAACAATCCTTACTGCGTTCATCAAACCTCGTTCATAATCTGTTATTATGGTTAACTGGTTGTAGTTCAGAGGTAAAATCTGGTGTACAACTCTAAAGAAGGACTCATATGTGGACTGTGTCATTCTTGTAGTCAATGCATACACCATTGGAAAAGACTGGGTAAAAAAAATCATATTAATTATATACAATTAATAGTTTAAAAAAATAACTTACCACATTTCTGTAAACTATATGAAAAGTAAGCAGGCAGCCTTTTTTCAAATCAGGAGGATTTCTTGGCACAGTTTTAAAAGTCCCATCTACTCCTGCGATGGTAATTGATTGGAGTAGTTCTCCACTATATTTTCCAATGGCATCTGTATTAGCAAATACTACTCCAACTAGTTCTCTATCTACTATCAATGGACAACCATGTTGAAAAAATCTAAATAAAATAATAAATAATAGTAAGTAAATAATAAATATTTGAAATTTATTTCATGAACCTTGAAGAAGGGCGCTGCAGGGTTGAAATATATGATGTTGATGTGGTTGGTTCATTCAGGATATGTGCTAACTGTTCAATGGTAGTTGGATTTTTTGGACGACGACGACGTCGCATTTTATTCAGACAAAACCGGGACTGTAAATGTGTATAGTTTTGTGCACCTTCTGGATTTCTAAGACAGTTAAGGTTGTACAATTAAAACTTTAATCTTATTTATGCTAATAATTACAAACATTTTAAAAACATATAATGTTTATCCAGATTACTCACAACACAACTTCTCGGTTATAAATTTGTCGGATTGAAGTAGCCAAATTGCCGGTACTTGTTCCAGCTAGACCAATAGCTCTTCGTAAATGCACCATTGGAATGTCAACATTTGGAGGGAAATGGTTGTGTTGAACCCGAGTCATTATATCACCATTCCCTTTTTTTATGTCCATAGTCCTGACCCAAGCTGTTGACGGACAATGCACCGCAACAGTCTTTTGATTTTCACAAATTAAATATCTACATAGCAATAAAATAATTAATAAATAATATTATAATACAAAATTAGTAAGCAATGAATCATTTATATTTCATAAACTATTTATTTAAATGTATAAGCTATGTTGGTAACATCTGTTAGCTTACTAAATCCTTACTTACGTTTTATCGTTCCTTGCACCATTTTTATAATACCTATAATACAAGTTATCCATAAATACTACTGAATTTATTCTGACACCAGGTAAAATCGTAAATGTTTCGGCTCTCTGACGCTGGATATTTGCCAGTTGACCTGGTACAAAAATAATATTTTACATTAATTGAATTATCATATAAAATTCATATTGGTATCCTGCAGAACTAACAATATCAATAATTCATATAAAATACCATTGTTATCTTCTTCAATATCATCTTCTTCCTCCTCTTCGTCAATAACACATTCTTCCTCCTCCTCTTCAAAACTGTTGAAATCCATCAACTCTTCATACTGCAGTTCATTATCTGAATCGATGAAAATAACAAGTGGATTTAATTTAAGAGGAAATTAAGTAATATTTAAAGTGTTATTTTGAATGTATTTTTTTTTTATGTTGAAACTATGTACAATGCATTTTGTAATAACTAATAATTACTTGAGGATGTACTTATATAATTGATATTCACTTAAATAAACTATAAATAGCACAGAAAAAAAATTATATTGTTTTGGCTAGGTATAGTAGCGTTTCCGAGTTGTTTTATTCCCTTAGACTTAGGAGACTTAAATTAAATATGATGCCCCTTATGTCCCTAACATGTCCCCTCCCATTTCTAACACTTAAACCACTAAATAATAAGGAGTACATCTGCTTATAAAAGGTGTGAAAAAAATGTTTAATACATATATATAGAAATAAATAATACTTGGTAAGTAATCGTGGTCGCGTAGTGCATCAATACCATTGAAAGCCATATTCGCTGAGTTGGTCCTTTAAGTGAAGTTAAGTTTTAGAAAATTAATAAATAATTAAAGATCAAGAAAACGAATAAGTAATTAATGTATTTTAACAGGCTGTCACACGAACTGATATTAAATTATTATTTGGAATATTTACTTTTGTTTTGGTTGGTATGAGATACTATTTGATATGCTCGTTTTTCTTTTTCTTATCATTTTTAGGAGAACGGCTTTTGGCCCGTAAGAGTGGTAACCGCCGTAAAACACTCTTATCATTTTTCAGACAGTGCTTATCATTATATTGTTTTATTTTGGATTTTGGAAGAATTGTTCTAATCATGGCTAAATATATATTTATATATATTTAGCCATGATTTCTGATTCTCTTCATTTTCCCACTGCTCGTGCACACCTCCTCAACTCCAAAGTTGCAGTTTTTGGTGTTCTAACCATTTTTGGACTCTCTTGAATATTCAAAGGTAAGTCATACCAATAGCCCGTCCACACAACCGAAATTTGTTACTCAATTGCCGTCCGACCTTTTATAGCTTGTGTGCTTGTGGCCGGTTGTCCGATTTAGTGTCGTCGAAATGACATTCCCCCGCACACTTCCTCCACCGTTCACTCGACAACCGCGTTAACGGGGCTTGGAGAAATTGCATTAACTATTTTTATCGTGAAAATAATATTATTATTTTATTTTTCATTCCGTTTCTTTCAGAACTCCGCTTAAGATACCAATAAAGATGGCTCCTCCTTCATACAGTGATCTCGGCAAAGCCGCACGCGACGTCTTCAACACCGGCTATGTATTCGACGTGCTCAAGTTAGACCTGAAGACCAATCAAAACGTAGAAATCAAGGCTGGTGGTACTCAGCATTTGGTCTCGGGCGCTGTAAACGCCAATTTGGAAACCAAATATGTGATTAACAAATCTAAATACTGTGAGTCATTCCCAATTAAAGGTCATTTAGCATTTTCATACTTCCCCTTATCTCGTTAGTTAAATTGGTTATGATGAATATGCTAAATGTATTAATTGTACTATACTTGAAGTATTTGCACATAGACATTACCTGCCTAATTAATTTACCATACTTAAATGTCAGCAAATTGTGTTCAATTTTTAATTAACTTTAATTTGTTAAGTATTTACATTGGTTGAGAAATGGAACACAAATGATGTTATGACTACTGAAGCTTCTATAAGCGGCTTGTTACCTGGTGTCAAACTTACAACTGATGGTACATTTGACCGCAAGAAACAGTAAGTTTAAATAAAATTCAATACAATTTAATATATTATTTAACCTAATTTTAATTTTCCAAAGAACTAAGGCTGTAAGAGTGAAGTCTGAATACAAAAATGATTATGTCTCACTCAACTTGGACACTGAGTTTAAAGCACTGAAACCTGTTATTAACGCTTCTGGTGTAGTTGCTTACAATGGTATATAAGTTCTATGTCATATATTTAAATACTAACTATTTATAACTAATTAATATATTATTCTTCTAGGATGGTTGGGAGGTTTCAATGTTAAATATAACACCAACGACAAATCATTACAGTCTAACAATCTTGCTCTCAGCTACATAGCTAAACAATTTGTGTTTACCACCACTGTGTAAGTAAAATAGCCAAACTGTCTTTAAACTATTATTAATTATTATATTATGTTCTACAGAAATGATAACAAGTTGTTTGGTGGCTCAGTTTTCCAAAAATTATCTGATCAATTAGATTTGGGTTTGCAAGTTTCTTGGTCATCTGAAAACAATGATTAATATATTTAATATATTTAGCCATGGTTCTAATGTTGTCGAATTAGTTGTTTGATTTGATAATTGATATACAAATATTGAAATAATTAATAAGTATACAATTGTTATTTAATATTTGTTATTGTGTTTTTAATTTTTACAAATATGAAAAGAAAAACCATTGGTGATTTTTTTATAAAAGTATCAGGTAATAATGGTAAGTCAAAATGTCAAGTTATTATTACTTTATCATTTTTTATTTGTGTTATAAACATTTTTTTTAGATCAGACCAATCAAACAAGTGTACCAATAGCCACTACATCAGTTTCTCAAGAAATAAATAATATTTTAGAAGGTATTCAATATAGTTAAATTATATAAATTATAAATTAAATAATATTATGCCTAATATTATATTATCTTGTTTTTAGATCATACCAGTCAGAAAAATACATTGACAGAAGTATCAAATTCTCAAGGAATTAACAATATTTTAGAAGGTAGGTATCTTGGTAATATTTGATATTAATTTATGTTATTCAAAAGTGTATTATTTTAACATTTAAATATTTATGAATTTTATGGATGTTTGGTACAGTTAAAAATAATACTAATAATCTCAGATAATTTGATGTTTTTGTTTATTAGTTAGTCCCAAAAACTCTATGTTTGTGTATTGTGTTAATTGTTGTCTATGATTTATGTGTTAATTAATTATAATTATTCATTAATCATTGATCAAATAAATCAAGTTAATAAAGTAAGTTAATACAAATTAAAAACAATTAATTATATAGGTATATTGTATATTATATAAATATTTATATAACAGTTAATAATATATTAATTAGTTTTGCATGTAAATTAATTACTAAGGGTTTAAGGATATATAGAAAGTAGATTGTTGCTTATTTATTATTATTTTAAATTTAATAATTTTAACATTATAAATATTCAATTAATATTATACATTACTAACCTCAGAAACAAGAATTATCTTATTATATTATTATTATTATTATTATTATTATTATTGTTATTTTAAATAGATGGTAATTGTATGGCTAATAATATACCAGTGCGTGATCCTGCTAGTAAAACATCAGCAGCATTTAAATGATTTATTGAAAATTATGGTCCTTACCAACCAATAGATGTTGAATTTATCAAGATAAATGGTAGATCATTTAGAACTGAATGGTATAGCCAATTCCCATGGATTGAGTTCAGTGAGCATTTACAAGCAGCTTTTTGTTTCAATTGTAGAGTATTTCCATCGAAAAATGCAGAAAAGACTTTCACTAATGTTGGTTTTAAAAATTGGAAGAAAGGAATAGAGAAATTTACTCAACACCAAAAATGTAATGCACACAAAGAGTCTACATGCAAATTGTCAAGTTATACGTTTTCTAAAAAGAATGGATCAGTGATTTCTGAATTGAATTTAGTACATAAGAATTCTGTATCTCAGAACCGAGAATATATTAGATGTCTATTAAAAACCTTTTTGTTTAGTGCAAGACAAGGTATAGCACCCCCTAAGATTTTGTGCTAGTTAGCCACTGCCAGGCCACCTTCATATTTTTTATGCAAAAAGTAAATTTAAGAAATATTTGTAAATCAAGGCACAGTCTCTCTTTTGTATAAATATTTGTGATTTCATTAATGTTCAGTATTGTGTATAGTTAGATTGGGAAAACATAAGACAATACCATTTAGACAACACTGTGACTAACACAATCATGCTTTTATAAAAGTTTATGATGTAGGTACCTTCTATTTTTTGATTTAATCTTCTTTTTTTTCTGGTACTTTGGTGGACTTTTATGGACAGCGCTTGCACCATGGCCCCTCGATATAGTAATGAGGCGACCAGGCCCATCTCTTTTAGATAAATTATTAAATACCAACTCAATCAAGTCTTCCAATTTATACAATCATAATATAATATGAGTATAGTACATTTCGTAATATTTTTTTATAATTTACTGTTATATTCATTTTGTATTTCTAATGTAGCTGATATTTATGGACAGCACTTGCACCATGGCCCCTCGATATAGTAATGAGGCGACCAGGCCCATCTCTTTTAGATAAATTATTAAATATTTGCTGATATTTATGGACGGCACTTGCACCATGGCCCCTCGATATAGTAATGAGGCGACCAGGCCCATCTCTTTTAGATAAATTATTAAATAGGTAGGTACCTACTCAATCAAGTCTTCCAATTTACATTTTACATTTATATTTTGTAGATAATTTGGGATAATTTGAAGAAAAATTTGAAATTAAAGAGAGACTGTGTGAAGTAACAAAATATGTGGTGTGCTAAGATACAACTAAATCGGTTCACCTTTAATAACAAAACTATAAGTGATAAACAATTTGGATTTAGGGACAATATGGGTTGCCAAGAAGCGATTTCTTATTTTTCGAAGTTAATCTATGAATCTTTAGACAAATTTAAAAGATGTTTAGGTATATTTTTAGACATAGCTAAAGCTTTTGATTCAATAGAGCATAACTTACTTCTAAAAAAGTTGAAAACAGTATTAGGTAACAATATCTTATGGTTGTGGTTTAAATCATATCTTTCAAATAGATCTCAAATAACAAGAATTAACGGTGAAACAAGTGACCCGTGTACAGTAAAATATGGTATACCGCAAGGGACAGTGTTAGGTCCGTTACTATTTAACATTTATGTAAACGATTTATTAAATATAGATATAAATGGCAATATACTAGCTTTTGCAGATGATACGGTTTTATTTTTCGAGGGGGAAACTTGGTCGGAAGTGGAAAACAAAGCAAACACAGGACTAGTACGGGTTAATAATTGGTACGCCAAAAATAGTTTAATGCTAAATAAAAAAATCAGTATTTATTCCCTTTGCCTTGTCCAGTTATAACAAACCCGAACAAATGACTATTAAATTACATAACAATAACTGTAAAATAAGTAATAAACTAACATATGTAACCTAAATTGTAGATGTATATCTAGTATTGCTTCAGCCAAATATTTAGGTGTACCTAATATTTGATGAGCATCTAAAATGGAAACCACAAGTTGAATCAGTAATAAACCGTATAAGGAAATGTTTTTTTATTTTTAAGGAACTACGAAATGTATTTGATACTGACGGACTGAAAATGATATACTTCGCGTTAGTCCAATCCATATTAATATTATTAATGTATGGTCTGATTGTATGGGGATCAGCTTATAATAATGTACTAGAACCATTAATGATAACTCAAAGAATGCTAATAAGAGTCCTAATGAAAAATTATTATATTACTAAAAACATCAATACTAACGATTTATTTGTTAAATTGAAAATATGTAGGTACTTTAGAAGAATTGTATGAACAATTATCAATCATTAAAGTGTTTACTAATAAAACTGATTACGAATATAATCTTATATAATAAAACGCTAATAACGCGTATAAGATCCGCGGGGAGCGCTCACGGCACTCCGCGTTTCTTCCATGACGACCAATCACAATACTTCCCGCGCGTTCGCTATAAATTCCGCTCGCTTATCTCCCTTTTCCTTATCGACGAATATTTTCGAACATTATTATTATTATTAAAAAAAAACCCGTGTTTTTCAATTTTTTGACGTGATAATAACGTCTTATAAATCGATTACCCCGCGACCGTCGGACGGAGTGGGGGGACCCATTATACGAGTAATTATTTTTGACCAAGTATAACTTAGCCGGTATTCGACTTAGAGACCCCGTACCAATGGGCATCTCAATTTTTTAGGCCCCAGATGAATTTTCAACATTAGGGAACCAAAGCCCCCACCCCCCCACATTTTGAGTTGAGTATAACTCGGCCGGAATTCAAGTTAAAGACCTCGGACCAACGGGGAACCCATTCTTTTTATGAATACTACCGTTTTCCGCTTTAGGGAACGGGGGCACCTCCTCCCCCCCTTTTTGGATTTTGCTTTTTGATGGATTTTGGTCCGGGAGAGTACTAACACCCATCTCGCCAAGGGGAAACTCGGGGTTTTTAGTTTTTGATAGGATTTATTGGGATTTTCTATAATATTGTTTTTATTGATAAGGAAAGTGATAAGAATTTTATTTTATCGCCGCGAGCACGGCGACGCGTCTTAAGAGTCATACATTTGCCTCGAAATTTCATCCGAGTAGGTGGCTAGGTTGGTTAGGCGTTAGGATAGGTGACTCGAGGGTCGTGGTTTCGAAACCGCCGCCAGGACAATAGATTATTTGCGGCGCCCGTGATAAGTTAAATTTTTTTTTCGCGTTTTTTTTGGTCACATTAATCATGTGTTCCGATTTTTTTCAAAATTCGCGTTATTATAATATTATATATATCGGTATTTATATATATTTATTTTGCAAAAAAATAATAATTAACATTTAATTAATACTTGATTTTACCGTGACCAACCTACAATATAATTATAATGTAGTACCTACTTGATATATTACAGTTTTTAGGTGATTACGATTGGGTTAAATACTGCTATAGATTATAAATACTGTTTAATACGATATTAATAAACTATATTAAAAAATAGTACGACTATATGACTGCTCCATTTGCCGTTTTTGTTCGAAAATTCGAGTTTCAGCCCCTTTCGGTCGTATCACCCTCCCCGTCGACGACTTATTCGAGTTCCCCGCTAAATTTATAGCCAGCGTGCGGCCCTACTTTTCCACAGACGAGTCCCGGGGAGGAGAGGCGTCGCGGAAACGATAGTAGGTACCGTGTAGGTATCGCTATATACAGGCATAAATACATGCGTCGAGGCGTTTTTTGGGGAGCCGTCACTGCGTTATCTTTCCTCCTTATCACTTTTCACGGTTTTGACCATTTTTCACAATTTATTTTCAACATTTTTGAGGTTTATCCCCCTCGGGTGCCTCGGGAGGGCCCGTTTGGACCTTATTCGCCTTCGTTTTAACGCCTCTACTGACTTCGGACCTCCCCGTTGAAGACTTACTCGCGTTCCCCGTCAAATGATTTAGC